CACGCTCACCTGCTCAATAATTTTCAGTCTTTCTGGATAAGACAAGTCGTTTAACGCCTAATGTCTGCTTTTGCTTCTGGCAGGCCGAGCAGGTGACGGGCAGGTGAGGTTTTCACCTCCCTGTCATTGCCTGCTGCATCCTGTCTGCAGCTGACTAGAGATCAGATCTGCCCTCTGCTATTTCCGTTGTCAGTTTGCCTCAGCATGTTTCTCTTACACCTTGTATACGTGTGTGCTTTTGCGCATATGTCAGCGTCGGTGCAGGTGTCGTGTGCGCTTTTTATTCACACATCTCACTGTACCCATTTATTTAAACCTTGTTTTAACTCTCTGTAGGCCTCAGATTTTTTTTTTTGTCCTACAGATAGATGACATGTGCACCAGTGTGCAGCTCAGGGTTTGCTGCTGTGAGTGCGCCTGTGTGCTTTGCATTGTTGTTAGTGTTGCCAGTGCACATGGATATGTCTATTGGGGGGGGAGAGACAGGATTCTCTCCTCCACTCATTCTCTGCCTCTCTCTCCAGCTGAGCTTTCTATCTGCCCCACTTAGCCCATGGAGCGAACAGTAATCAGCCATTCTCAGGAGAGAGAAAGGCAGAGCGATAGAAAGAGAAAGAGTGCACGCTCAGTCGTTGTCTTTGATGGAGCCCTCAGAGGTGTCTAGAGGAAGGAGCTCGGGGCTGACGTCGGAGTGGACCGGTGAAAGAGAGGGGAGATGGGGGTGGAAAAAAAAAAGAGAATAAAAGAGGAGGCGGGGGGGATGTTCAGTATACAGAGAGTAAGACAGGTACCAGGAAAGAGCACAACACAGAGATGAGAGATGAAAACAGGGTGCATTTGAGGTAGCTGTCTCCTCAGCCTATGCATCTTGCTGGTAAACGGATATGGACAGCAGAGACTGTGGCATCCTGTGGCACAGTGAAAGGTGCATGCGATGTAATGGTAATGTTTCTGAGACCAAATGGAACTGATGTCTTTTGCATGCCAACCGTCCCCCTTCTCCCTGTTTCCCTTACACTTTCTGCTGCATATGGGCTGATGAAAAGCATTGCTTTTAAAGTACTCGTACAAAACAGGAAAGAGGAGAGGGATGGAGTAGGAACAACGGGACACTGAGAGAGAGAGAGAGACAGAGAGAGAGAGAGCGAGAGAGAGAGAGAGAGAGGGAGAGAGAGAGAGAGAGAGAGGGAGGGAGAGAGAGAGCGAACTCGGGCCAACAGCAGGAGACATGTACTGTTAAAATATTCACCTGTTCTCTTTGTAAGTGTTGTTGGAGGCGAATGGCCGATATGTGTGTGCCTTGTAGACAGATGGACCCGCTGAGTGTGTGTGTGTTTGCGTATGAGTGTGTGTGCTCAGCTTGGCCTCTTCTTCACTGTATGACCAAACAAAGCTGAGCAGGGCTGAGCTGTTTTGTGTTTGCCTGACAAAATAACCCAGCTCTCATGCTGACGGTGAGCAGTGGTGGTAGTTGAGTGCTTTTTTACATTTTGACCTTAAGTTTATTGTGTTATCAGTCAGCCCTAACTTCTATTCAAACCTGTAAACACCATTTGTATCATCCAGTATGCCTGTTTGCTTTCTTGCTGGGTTAGATGATATTATTCTTGTGTCTGTCTGCGAGATATAAAGCTGCAGCAAACAGCCAGTTAGTTTAGACTCGAGTAAGAGTCGGAAAAGTGAAAAACAGCTCGCCCGACTCTGTCTAGAGGTGATATATTCACCTACCAGCACTTTATACAGCTAAAAAAAATGAAAACATTATATCACTTTGTTTAATCTCTGCAAAAACTTGAGTGTAAAAATTAAAGTTCTGATTTCTGGATGATGTAGTGCTGTAGTACTTCTTGGCCAGGTTCATTAATTTACGGGAGTCTCCACTGGTTGCCTAGCAACTGGTCTGGGACAAGAAATACTCTTGACAGGTTCCCCCCGCCCCCCCTCCACCACACACTCCCCATACTAACTTGTGCTTTCTGCACTTTGTTCCAGTCTTTATTGCCAAACTAAGCTAACTGGCTGCTGGCTGTACTTCATATACTGTGCAGACACAAAGCTTCTCTCCCGGCTCTCAAGAAGGAGAATGAGTTTATTTTCCAAAACATCACACTATTCATTTAAAGATGCCTTTCCCTCAGTTACTGATAAAGTATCTGATGGAAAGTAATTGTAAAAAAATGCTCTCATGCACTGAATTCCTGACAAATGTCCAACTGCAACGTATTTCTAATAAAGTAAAGAGCTGACCTTGAACAATCTTTGACATCCTTTTATTTACCTGCACATATGTCAAGCAGATGTGCCTGAGACAAAATCCAGTTTGGCCTTTTGACCCCACCAAACTTCTAACACGTTAAAGGTGAACACCACAGCACATTTGTTCTGTACCCCTTCATGGATTTGTAAATAATTTGTAACTTGAAAATTCCACCCAGCAGAAGAGACGAGATTCAAGAGATGCATCACCTTTGAAATGGGCTTTCAATAATGAATAGACTTTTAAAAAAAAAGACAAATAATGTCAGGGCCTGTCCCAGCTGTCATGCAGCACCAGTCTATCACAGTCAACCCTGCACACACTGACAGCCAAATTAGAATAATCAGTTAACCTACCATGCATGTCTTTGGACTGTGAAAACATCAGGAGTAAACTTACAAACTGCACAGAATGGCACCAGATGATCATCAGCTTCGAAGCCAGAACCCTATAGCTGTGACACAGCAGTTCTAACCGCTGCACCATGGTGCCACCCCCGTCTCATACATAAGAAAGATTCATGTACGGCTATAGATCAAGGTATTATCAAAGTATTATGTGTAGATTTGCATCAATCTTCAGGTAATCAGGAGGGGAAAACCTGCAATTCAAGGTTGCCTCGTTGTTCCCTGTCATCTATCGGTGCATTCTGCAAATGTGATATATTTTGGCAAGCACGCTTAAAAGGAATTTGTTTTGGATGTATGCCAAATGTCTAACTAATGTTATTAGTTTGACTGATTGCAGTAGTGACCTTGATTTCGTTTTAACCTGCTTCTCTTGATGTTTGTGGGCTGTTTGAGAACAGCACAGTAAACCGCTGTGCTGAAAAGTGAAAAACTGACACATAACAGAACTGTTTTGGAGATTTCTCAAGGAATAATCTGTTAAATGTTCAGTGTGTAAAGCTTAGAGGGATCTATTGGCAGAAATACATTGCTGTTGTATTCATGTTCACGTCAACATAAGAATTTTGTGTTTTTCGTTACCTTAGAATGAGCCGCTGCCATGTTCATACAGTACCAAAGAACCAGACTGTACATAAGAAATATAGAATAGCTACTGGCACATCACCCATTACTTGTCAACTGCAGTTTGAAGCTTCAACTTTAGAATTTGGCTCTCTTGGTCTTTTGAAACTGGACATGATGAAAGAAGGGTGAATCTGACCAAGAAGTTGAGGGCACTGTGCACGCCTACACAGTAGAAACTGTCAATCACAAGGTAGCCCTGCCTTAAAAAAAAAAAAAGCTACCCTGCTTTATGGTCTGTTAAAGAAGACTTGAAACTAGGGAATGAAACCATAAACTCAGTCGGAAGATGTTTACTGAGGTAACAAATCGAGTGAAATATACAGCCATTTTCTCTGCTGTATTTCTTTACAATCAGACGCTTCATGAAACTCGAGGAGTCGCCCCTTGTCATTTTGCCATTGGCTTCACTTTCTACATCCGGAGGCTACATTCATCTTTTTAACATTGTCTTTGCCCAGAATGGACAAACTAAACACTGGCTCTAGACAACTAGTGTTCAGATTTGGCCACCATATCTCTCCTACACACTTGGAAGTGGACAGTGAGCTGATTTCTCAAAGGAAAGCGTCCAGATTTGTCGACGCGTCGGATCCGTAAAGGCAGCACTACACAGTTCAGCGTGTTTTTCTGTGTTACGAATGTCACTGGCAGAGTAGGTGTTACAACAGATGAAGGAGTATTATTCATAGACACTGAGTGTGAAGAATGTTGACCTGAGATATTTAAAAGAAAACAATGTCCCTTTAAGTCTGTGGAAGTTGCTGTGAAAAGATAGCTTTTTATAGCTCGGACTGTCATTCCTAGTATTGCACTGACTCTGAATGCCTGTCACTGCAGGTCAGTGTCACGAGCAATATGCTGTGCCCAGGTCAGAAGACTCGCTGTAGCGTAGCCAAGAAATTCACTGTCAACTGAATGTTTTCAGCTCAACGCGGAAGAACCCGACCTATGCTCACACGACACCTCACGATAATTTAGCTCCGGGCGGCATCTATGGCTGTGAGACATGAACGCTTATGCTAATTTTTTACGTCTCTTGCATGAAGGGCGTCCGGCATCCCAGAAGGTGAAAGGGTCGAGCTATAACGCAGCTTCCACGTGATGTGTCTTGGCAAATTATTATTATTATTTTGTTCTCTTCGCTCAAATTGCTCCAGATAAGAGCACCAGCAAAATGTCTAAAATATGAATGTAAATGTAAAATGTATGAGAGAGAGAAATGAGAGGGGCAAACTTCAGAAGAGAAAGCAGGAAGCAGAGCTGGAATTACCATCTGTCCAGATTGGGTTTGGGGAATTCTGCTAAATCACCACTGATCTGATGAATTGGAGGGATGTGGGGGTGGGTTGGGGAGGTGGTGGTGGTGGGGGGACCCATAAGCAAGCACATCCGGATGCACAAACATATAAATACTCATGCTCGTTCCAAGTTTTCACAGCCTTGAATTGACCTACATAGGGTATTTACTCCGGGATCAGTGCCAAATTGTATATTATAATAGACAATAATCCAGAGTCTAAGAAGAGCCTCTTCAGGGATCTTTTGGGATGTTGGGAAGCAACATAAGGAGGAACATGGAAACAAGGCAAACAGCTAGCCACAGCCAATTATAACTGAACGATGCGTTGCCCTTTTCTGATCTGTCCGCCACACCACTGTACCTTTTGGCTTACCTTTCCTGTTCTCATGTGTCCTTTTGCAGGAGTGAGACTGTGCTGCATCAGTTTTGCTGCCCCGCCCCTGAACATCCAGAAACTGACACCACAGGCTCATCGGGGTAAGAACAAATTCCATGTTTTGTTTTTTTAATTTCCACAATTCAATATGCTCTTCTAAAAACATGTCTCCATATGCACCTTCTGTGTATTTGTGTCATCCAACTGAGTCACGTCAACACCCGGGCTTTTAATAGTACTTGACAGTGTGTGCACAGTGCTGTACTGTATGTGAGTGTGAATGGGTGTATTTCTTGGTCTGCGGAGCCCCGGAGTTACAACTACACAGCTAAATGTTTTGTAGCAAACCTATAGCTTGAATGGCCTCAAGGGTAACTCACACAAAGACAGACAAAGCCCATGGCAACCCTGATGCAGTGACGCAATCATTACAACTGCCATAGTAACTGGAGAACTGAGCCACTTTTATGTATACTTACGGACATACCGTATATGCTTTATTGATATATATATACACAACTCACACAACAAGTAAGAAAAGTGGCTGTATGTGGGGGTGGGAGGGTGAACACATGACATTTCCCTTGGATGTTTGAACAGGCATTGCTCTTGAACTTAGAAAAGCTGATTTTGTCATGTTTCCCAATGATTACCCTCCATCCCTCCCTCCTCCAGAATTTCTCCGATCTTTTAATCCTCTGTACTCTGTTTCTAAATCCAGTTTTCCCCAGTCTTGTCTGTTTTTTCCTGTCTCTGATTCTGCTGCAATGTCTTTCCCCTCGCGTTGTTTATTTCTTCTCATTATTTATCTGTCTGTCGGAAGGCCACGTCTTTTCTAATCATCCAACCGCAATTATTTTCTATCTCATCCCTCCCTATCAAGTGTCTCTCCCCCCATTCTGCTTTTATTAATATCACCATCTGTCTGTCTGGAATCCCTCTCCTTCTCTCTGATCTGATGACTTAACTCCTACACCCACATAGTCCTGATTAGATGGGCTAATGGCACAGCGGCATCGGACAGCCAGCTGAGATGATGAGCTGCAGCGGGGATGTGTAGCACCGTACCTCATTATTATCATCATCACATGAAGTTGTGCTCTCCTGGTGGCTGCGAACCTGCGCCGTGTCATCCGCCGCGCACTGTCATCAGCTGAATCCACCAGAGCACACAACACTCCCAAGAGATGCCATGAGATCTGCCTCTAGCCTAACCTGCCGTGCCTTTGCTCTGCAGCCTTTGTGTGTGTGTGCGCGTGTGTGTGTGTGTTCTCCCCTGGGTGTACAATACTGTAGGTCTCTATGGGACTTGAGCAGTCCGATTGGACAGATGTTCGTTTGTCTTCCACGCTGACGTCACTCGCGTAGGAAAGGCAGGAGCATGTGCTCGGTGTGTTTGTTGCCACTCCATATGTGAGCATGTATGAGAAAGAGCGAGTGGGAGAGAGCATGAGAGAGAGAGAGCGCGTATAATGCCCATATCATTATGGAGGCTTTTGCTGTCCAGATGCATTAATAGCTCAACTCTTGCTTTTAAATCCTCTAATGTATTCTAATGTACTCTAATGTATTCTGATGCAGCGCTGGGGCATGGCAGTGTTTTAATAGAGTTTTTGATAGAGACAGCCTCCAGCATGCACACATCAACACACTCTTTCTATCTTCCTGTTTCCCCCCTCGCCGTTTCTATCTCACTCTTTCCTCCGGTTCCTCTCTCTTCGCTTTTCTGTCCATTTTTTTCCCCCCCTCCTAGCTTTATCTCATTTAAAGATATGACCAAGCTTCTCTGGCCCTATCTCTGACTTTTAGCTAGGGACGCAGAATAGTTGCTTTCACAGCAATCAAAGAAAACAAAGAGGAACTTTAGTGATGCGCTCATTATTTAACCATGAGCAGGCTTTTTATTCTCCCCAGTCCTATTTAGCACTGGTCCCCCTTCGTGTAAAAATTATTAGAGTAAGCATTATCTGGTTGGAAGAAAGATTGCACTAGCACACACCGTTATGCACACACACACTTTAAATTGTGCAGCATTATAAAGACTCTTAGGGTGCCATCATACCTCTATGCTTACATCAGTCCAGTTTGACCATATAAAAGGTGCTGAGTGTCCGTGTTTTCTCTCTTTTAGTGAGATGTCAGAGAAGTTGACAATGGCGACGAAAGCTTAAACTGTAATAACGTTTTGGCTTAGTGGAAAACTTGGATATTAAAAGGACATCTTCTGCTGTGTCATGGGAGTAATTTACTTTGATAAGCTTTACAAGGCTTTCACTGAATTTTAATAATGCTGCCATGTAAAAGAACGCTGTTCCATCTGTGGACAGGATCTGGGATTATTAGAGGAGGATGGGACACGCTACCAGTGGCAGTGAGCACTGGGAGACAGCCTCCACACTTGATGTTGTCAAGCCAAATTCAAGCTGGATTTAATTTTGTTCTTGCTCCCAGCTTCTGCTGAATTAAAAAAAAAAAAAAAAAAAGATTGTTTCTTTACTAGCTGTGGAGTCTGATTGGGTATTTCCCAAACTTTTTCTGCAAGTCATGTTTGACTTTGAAGATAATGACAGCCTTGTATTTCTTCCAATGTATTTTAATGCAAAATCCCAGCAGCAGGAGACTGTCTAATAATCTTTTTTATTTTCTGTGCAGCAGACTCAGAATGTTGTATGTTTTTTTAATATTTTATTTTTTTTTATCATAATAGCCACTGAAGTGTTCATCTAAATGAAGTCATTGCTATGGAAACACACTGGCTTTCATAGTCTCATATACAGAATCGGCACTGATTAGCAAAACATCTTGTGGAACATTGTTGGCACACCAACAAGATTAGAAGCCCTACTGTGAATGCTCATTCTTTCAACTCCAAGGCTGTGTCTAAAATAACTCTCTGTTTGCTACCAAGTGCACTTTGCTTTCCACCAGTTAATGGCTTGTCCAAAGTCTGAAGGATAAGACAGTTGGTTCAGTCTGGGAGCAGACTGACTCTTAATTATGCAGATCACAACCCTCCACACGATGAGTGTATATATATTGCTTGTTTTGCTCTTGTGGTGTGAAGTTGACGGTGCCTAAAATAGATCTCTTTGGCATCAAAATACTGAGCGAAAAAAAACACTTATTGCAGCAATATGCATTTCAGTTTGGTGGAGTGGCTCTGCTCATGTGACACTCTGGAACTAATCTGAGCAAACTTGACACTTACTGTCCCTGAGCCCTCCAACTCCCCTGGTAGAGCCCAAAATACACAACATTTAATGATCAGCAACACATTAAAAGAAATGTTCAAACTTGTCGCACAGCTAAATACGAGAGGAGTCACGAGACGTGGAGGGAATAAAAATCTGTGAGCGGGCAGATGATTAGTAGTGAGTATGCAAAGCTTAGCGTTGTTTAATGCAGACTAGATTTGATCAAATGATTAACTGGATCGCCTGTTAGCGGACAAACATTCCTGGAGGCTGCATGGAACATGTCACTATAAAATGACTATCGTGCCTGTCTGAAATACCGCAAAGCTCCATTTACATGGCATTACATTTGGCAGTGAAGCATAAAACTGTGCATAGTTGATTTTAAGTGTCTTCATTTTACTGCCAGAAGGTTGAAACAATTTGGTAATAAACAGTCTTGTTCAGCGGTTGCCAAATATGTCAAATATGTCACGAAATCAGTCTCGTAAGCTCATCATCCATACAAGAAAAAACTCAATTCTAATGCTAATTATCTTTACCTCTTCAGGTCTAATTCAAATGAGACAATATGAGAAGCAAGGATCAGTGACTGAACTGCACATTTACAATTCAGAGATATGCAACCTGTGATGAGGGATTGCAATGAGATATTTATTCATCTTAAGCAACCACAATGAAATAAACAAAAGGTTGGGAACTGCAGTTGATTAAACCTCTAAACACTAAGCAGTTTCAGGGCCTTTTTTTTTGCTCCCACTTTTTTTTTTATTTTTACATACATTATATTCTTCATTTTGTTTACATGCTTGTCTCCTATCTGCCTTATGTAAACACAGCCTGCAGTTAGCTGAGTTCAGCCAAAAATGTAATAAATGTCTGGCACGTGACTGTTGGTTGCAGCTGAGTCACTCATAGCTCCTTGGTTGCACTGAGGATGCAGAATTTTGCAAATTCTGGTGAGAGCAGATTCTTATTTTTGGGGGGAATTTTTGAATAGAACATGTAGAATAAAGTGCCTTTGATTAAGTATATCTCCATTTTATGCTTAGATTTGACCAGTTTTCCCGATGGATCGGTACTTCACTGATGAGTAGCTTGAAGGTTGAAAATTTTAAAATTCTTTATGTTTCTAGAGTTTCTGGCTCTGATAAATCGTATCTTTTTGGAGATGTTTTTAAAAAACATAAAAAACCATGCTTTTCAAATCCATTACATTTTGAGGTTCAGCTCAAAAATATATCAAACAACTACTGATGACTGATGAACTCATTATTCAAAAAAATAAAATGCTAAAGATCTACTGTTTCCTGCTTCTTAAAATGTGAGGATTTGCAGATTTTCTCTTTTTAATATAATTGTGATGATATTAAATATCTTGCAATTGTTCTTCAAAACAAGCTCTTTGATTTGTTGTTTTTGTTCTTAAAATGATTATTTTTGGACTGTTTTTTTCAGCTGACCAACAAACAATGGGAATGTTGTTGCTTGAGGCCCTACTATAAATTATTGAGAGCATATAGGAAATAAGGGAAGGAAGAAAGGATTTTGGACACAGTGTGTCAGTTTTTTAGTATTCATCCTGGTCACATATCCAGCGTTTCACCCCTGCAACTTGCAGTGAAGCCACAAATTTGACTAAATACGACTGGACAGATAAAGTCAGTCATCCTCACCCCGGGCCACTACAGCCACACATCACTCTGCACGCTGCTTCCCTTGTGAACCTCTTCTTCACACTCTGCATAGCTGATGACAAGCTAAAGCAAAACCAGCAGAGTCTTGGTCAGTGGGGAGGACTGATACCTTTCTGCTCTTATTTCTGCTGCAGTGGACAGATGCTGAGTCTGGAGGATGGAACTTCTTCTGGTGGCGGACAAGAAGCAGAGGGGACCAAGAGAGAGGGACCCAGCGAGTACGAGATCTCCCTGGAGAATAAAAACAAACAGGTATGTCTTTTCTCAAGCGTACGTGAGGCCTTGTGCACATGGTAGGAATGCGATGAACGCAGGCTGCGCTACCTGGTTTACGTGTGAGGAGGTGTGTGAAGGATGATCATTTGACATTGCGTCTTGCGTGACAAAAAAGATTCCCATTCAGATCTATTTCTGTCTCTGTTGACATGAAAAAGAACACCCAGGATACCACTGCCACAGCGAAAGGAACACGAAAGATGCTAGGTTGTCATGGTAACAGCTAATAACTGCTTCTGGCGGCTGGAGATGTCTTTATTCCTCATAGCAAACTGCTGAAGGGTCTGCTGTTGCTACTGCTATTGCTGCTGCAGTGAGAGTGTGTGCATTACGAGTGTGTGTGTGTGTGTGTGTGTGTGTGTACGTGCACTTTTTGTGTGTGCAGATACACACCCAGGCACATGTGTGGCTGTCCTCCTTTCCCTCCCTTTCTGTCTCTTCTTCCCCTGCCTCCCACTCCTCCTCCTCCTCCGATTCCCTCTTGCAGAAAATATAAGAGGGCAAAAATTCTGGAGGATGGTGAGATTTTGGGCTGAGCTCCTCCGCCAACAAACGGACCAGAAATAGGCTTGTGCGGGTGTTTACTTTTCAATTCATTTTCTAAACAGCACCTTTGTCACAGCCCATCCATCCTCTCTCTCATGGCCCTTCAGCCAGTATTAGTAGTTCAATGATGATAGATGATGTTTACTTTGGGTCTAATACCATAAACCCCTTTAAAAGAGCAGACAGATAAGTAAGAAGGATACTTCTAAGAAGTGTGTGAGTGTGAATTTCATGACTCAGGGAATGCTCAAACACTTTTGATCTTTTGCAGACATGGGCACAAACCGGAAACATGCTTGCTTGCGGATGGATGAATAACTATCTTTGCGTGGATGATGTGTGCTTTGCAATATTGCTGTTGCAGTGTCTTCAGTGTGTCTCAGAGTCTTGTAAACATGTCTGATACACCCACTCCCGCTCACCCTCTTTCTGTTCCCAGATAGAAGACTTGGAGCAGAAGTATGGAGGCCATCTCATAGCGAGACGGGCCGCCCGCCGCATCCAGACAGCCTTCCGTCAGTACCAGCTCAGCAAAAACTTTCAGAAGATCCGCAACTCGCTGTCGGAGAGCAAGCTGCCTCGTCGGATCTCTCTGCGCCAACCCAGCCCTTCAGGCCGAAATCGGAATGCAGCCCAGAGACACAGTTACAGTCTGCATCCGGGAGGAGGACAAATACCCTTACGTTCTAAAACTCCTCCTCCACCTCCATGTCGCTCCACCTCTCTACCCCCGTCTCCTGCCTCGGCTCCAGCAGCCGCCCCTTCTCCTGCGCCAGGCCCGGCCCCACCTCAAACCCCTGGACCCACACTGACACAGCTGGAGGACTGCTTCTCCGAACAAGTGAGTTTTTTGTCTCTCATGTTATGTAAATGCAAAAAGGTATAGAGAAATGCGGTTTCATTAAAGGGAACTGCAGTGGTTCTAGACTGAAATATCTCAGCAGCTGATTTTTACAGATGTTTATGGTTCCCTGACAATGAATCCCAAAGATTTAAATGATCTGCTGACCATTCCTTTAGCACCTCTGGTCAAATGTTGTGACAGCGACTGAATGGATTGCCGTGGGATTAGGAACATAAATCCACTGTGCGGAGGATGCATTTGGAGATTCCCTTGACCCTTTTAATGTACTAAAAAATATTGGCATACATTTTGTCCCAGGCTTTTAGATTCTCCTCAGGATGAATCATACCTTTGGACACCCTCTGACTTTCAATAGTGCCACTTTTCAGGCCAAGACTCGAATTTGTCCAATAATTTAGTTTATGACCACATATCTGCAAAGCTAATCAACTAATTCCATTAGCATCTGATGTACACTATTTTGGGTTTCAAATTTGCAAATGTTTTCCTGCTACCATAATTTTATACCATAAATATTACACCTGCATAAGACCAGGGGCATGTTGGTGGTACGTAGAACTTCACAGCCTCACACAGGCACTAGAACACCTGCAGGCACTTTGTCTTCTTCATTTATCCTTTCAACTGATGAAATGTGCCAGAAGGTGAATAAGCATTCATATGGAAACCCATCACTATTGTTAAAAAGCTATTTTGACCTTTTAGTTGCTGCATAGTCGGTATCAGACTGTGCCATCTTAGATCTGCTAAACTTCTGACATTTGACACTCTTCTCTAACCCTGACTTAACATACCTTTAACCTGTCTTTGAATCTCACCCTGACCCAAGAAAAGAGCTGACCCTCAGTGGTTTTTATCGACACTTTATGTTCTGAAGCTGAACTACGCTGACCGGCCCCAGTGGCTTGACAGACAGCTTCATCTGAATGCCATGTCCCGCTTGGTAGTCTAGCAGCTGTCACTATGAATCATTTTTCTCTTCTTTTACAAATACCCACTAATTAGCAGCCCAGCCACTATCATAAAGTTTTCCACACATGAATCATGTCCCTTGACCTGATTAAATCACTGGTTTTGATGTGTAATTTTTTAAATATATATATATATTTGCAGCTTCACTCCTTGGCACAGTCGATTGACGACGCCCTTCGTGGTTGGAGCTTGTCCGAGAGCGCAGAGGGGAAGGGGCTATTGATGGACCCCGGGGCCCTTCGCGCAGCTGCAGAGAGCGCCTGTCTGCCCCGCAGTGCCAGCTCGCTGCTCATGGCCTTCAGGGATGTTACTGTTCACATCGACAGCAATAGCTCCTACACCATCTCCTCTGCCACCACGACAACCACCACCTCTCTGGGCAATGCAGGCGGAGGAGATGCAGGCAGCAGGAAGACCTCGGTGAGCGGGATGGCTGGGGGAGGCGAGTCAATGGAGGAGCCGGAGTTTCCTGCACCTCCGCCCAGTGAAGAGCTGGAAATGGTTGACCCAGGATCCAGGAGGGGTTCGGCGGTGCCGGGTGCAGGAGGAATGGAGGGGGAGAGCAGCTCAGACAGACTGGGGTCCACCTCTACTTCTACCTCTACCTCCACCTCAATCTCCACCTCGGCCCAGTCTAATCAGCAGCCCGCGCAGATTTACACCCAGTACCAGCAGTACCACTACACTCATCCTCAGCAGATCCCCGGGGGTCCGAGCCCCGAGGCCCTGCAGGCCCTGGTTGTCTCTCTGCCCAGGGATCGCTGCCAGGATCCGGTCTCTTGCCGCTCGCCAACCCTGTCCACTGACACACACCGCAAACGCCTCTACCGCATAGGACTCAACCTCTTCAATGTGTGAGTGTGGCGGCAACACACACTCGGCACTGTCACAGAAAACATATTAAATATTTCTGCACCCTCTGGCTCAGGGTTCAGAGAGTACACTTATTACTGTTTGTGTCTAACAAATCTCCAACAGCCCTGCAAAACTGCTCTAAGCAGCTGCTCATTAGTGTTTGTGATTGTTGGGAGGAGCTGCCTGTTCAGTGCCATCTTGGTGTGGTGTCCATGGAAAAAAAAAAAAAAAAAAAGCTATCAAGGGGGTGGGCAGGGATGTAGTGAGGAACAGAAAGAGAGAGAGGAAAAATGCAGTGGAGTTGGAGAGGCAGTCAAGAAGGTCATGAACAATGTGAGAGCCACTCAGCTCCTATAAATAGAGTCCACGGTTGGCCTGCACTTATTATAAGTTAATACAAATTAAAGTAAATTAACTCATATGCATCAGCGACAGTGGGTCTGATCCTGAAGTCCAGAGCTAACAGCTTTTGCGCATGAATGCACTTTTCTTTTTCCTCTTCCTCTGTGCGCCTCTCCCCCTCTCACACACACACACACACACTCTCTGGCACACACACTCGTAGAGACGCACACGTTAAGCAGCATTTTTCTTACATACAGCGTAGCACATTTTATTTCTCACTCAGGCCCAAACACCTTCCTGCTTGAATGCACAAAAACATCACACACGTACACACGCAGCGTTAACTCTAACAGTATTTGCTTTTCCGCCGTTTGTCATCTGCGGGCAGGAATCCAGAGCGAGGCATCCACTTCTTGATCACGCGTGGTTTCGTCCCGGACACGGCCATCGGAGTGGCTCACTTCTTGCTGCAGAGGAAGGGCCTGAGCCGACAGATGATCGGAGAGTTCTTGGGGAACAGCAAGCTGCAGTTCAACAGAGATGTTCTCGAGTGAGTTCCTGTTATTAAAATGTGGAGACATCTTTGCATCACGCAGAAATACACATGTATGGGTTTGGGGTTTGATAGAGTTTTTTAATGTATAGTCCAAATACAAATGTTCTTAATTAATGTAAATCCTGTGTTTGCAGCCCTCAGTGTGCTCAGTTATCATAGAGGAGGCCTTAGGTTTGCCTTTTTAACAAAGAATCTAAAAGATTTAGGTGCAACTTTGTAATCAGGCACCTTTTTTATTAAGGTTTTATAAGTTATGAGTATTGGGTTTATTCATGTTCATAAAATACTGACTAATGTTTACTGGAATAATTTATTTTTAACCCTCTGAGCCTCAAATTCCACTGGTGTGTTTGAAAGGCATGTTGACTTGAAAAAAAAAAAATCACCAAAATTACACCGTTTATCAGAACCAGACACTGTGAAAACACAATCATCAGATTTTGACCTTTCCACAGTCCTTCAGCTACTCATCTGTGATGTGTAGTTCCGTCGGAAACCCAATCTAGGCCTAAAAATGATAATATTTAATCAGAATCACTTTGGCTCTGCATGGCTCAAACAAGAACATTATGCTCTTCTTGATACAACCGAGAGGATATGAGTGATTCAGCTGCTAGCAACAGTCATGTGGCAAAAATTCAGGCACCCTCAGCTGAATTAGGCTGAACTGCTGTCTGTGTTTACACTCACAAATCACAATCACCGAAATTACACCAATTTTACAAAGCCAGAAACTCTACAAACAGAAAGAACTGTCAGATTTTCAACTTTCTGACAGACCTTAAACTACTTATCTGTGATTAGCTGTTCCATTGGGGTTGGGGGTGGGGGGGGGGTGCAAAGATGAGATATTTCCTTATGATCACTGTATTCGAAATGTCTTAATTAAAAAGTCACTAAAAGTAAAGAATCTGCTTTCATCAGAATTTACAAAGAAAAAAAAATGCACTCATTGATGCAACGGAGAGGCTACAACTGATACAGTTCACACCAGTGTCATGCAACAAAAATAGTATTGATACTTGATCACTTCAAAGGAATTTAACTGCCTTTTAAAAAAAAAACCCAAAACATTCATTATAACTTTGTCATGATGTGCAACATATATTTTGAAGTACTTCTAGCTGTGGTTGTGCTGTTTCCATAGAGGTGCAGGACTTCATATTGCAGTGGAAAATGAGCCCACAATGAGTAAAAAAAATGTGACAGGAGCAGTAAACACCCAGATAGTGCTTGGGGTTCAGAGGGTTAAAGAAATGGTAAATAGTTAAATATTCACATCCTCAAATTTTCTTTCAAATGCTACACTTTAGTTAGAAATGCTATCAATTTTGTTATAAATTTATAGTCTTGAAGCACAAGCTTAGATGCCCCTGACTGCATTATATGGGTTATTTTCTCACATTTGACAAAGCTCCTCTTGACATGCAAACCGACTCATAACACTGGAAAAGTGGTCCTCACTCTTCATATCACATTTCCAGATTATGAAAAAATTCTCCTGTGTGCTATTACACTTGCTTCGCCATGAGCGAGCCCTTTAGTTCGTCACGAGACCCCTCTAATGGCCCATTTGACCACTTACCCTGTGGAAAAGGGCTGCAGAGCATCTGAACCAAAATCAATTTATGTACATCTTATTGACATTTTTAACTGCAGACTGTTTTTCACTAGTTGTAAAGTGAGAAACTTTATTTGCCACTTAGCTAAATGGCTGCCTGTATTTGATGTACAAATCTCACCTTAAGGTCAACTGGAGCTTTAAACCACCTGCAAGTTTGGATTGCCTACTTGCCACAAAACCGTATGTTTTAACTTTAAGCTCTTGTTATTCATGCTGACTTAAAATTGATTACTTACAATTACTCCATGTACTTGAAAATAACAATTGAAAAAAATTCACTTACCTTTAGTTCCCCTTAGTAGTCGCTCTGTAGCTTCACAAAAAGTACTATGAACCTCAACTTCCTGGAATTTTTGTCGGTAGCTCTTTGCTACTAAACAAGAGAGAAGAGTCAATAAAAGATTTATTAGTCTCACTAAATTTTTATGAATTCAGGTACTTTAAAATATCTCAGGTAGAACTGGCTATTGAAACTCATGCCACTTGTAAACGTGATAACACACGTACACTCGCTCACTTGACACGGAGCACTTGCATGCATAAATGCGACATATCCACGAAAACACGCCTTCGCCTAATGCTTTCACGCTCACGCCTTTTACATCCAACCAGCGTAGACTATAGACGGAGATCGAGTATAGCGAGGCTTTTTGCTGAGGTTGTTGTAGAGACTGTAGAAATAGGTCACTGCACTGAACGCACACGTAAGCACACACCCTCAGTTTCTTTCACTGAGACACATAGACACACTTGCTTGGACACAAATAAGTGCATGCACATACATGCATATGCACAATCTTGTGTCTCTTACTTCTTTTATTGCCACAGCCTGTCCTCAGCCTTTCATGTACCTCTCTCTTGCCCCCTCACTCTTTGCATTTCATTATTTTGCCCTCTTCATCCCACTTTTTCCTTCCCTCTTATCTCCAACTGTCGCCAGACCTTTTCTTCCCCACTGATGCTTGCTCAGTGTGTGTGTGTGTGTGCGCACGCATGTGTAAACATGTTGTCTCTATGTGCATCTTCCAGGTCAGTAGCTCGGTAATAGAAGTATGACTGTAAGAGAGGGATTTGCCATCAGCACTTGGGTACACATAGTGTGTTGCACATTCACAGGCGTACACGTTTCCACACACTCACTCACTGACTTACCTTCTCATTATAGTGACAGACTACAACTAAACCCAGTCTCACCCCCCCTTTCTCCCTGGCTTTCTTTTCTTCCTCCCTCCCTGTCTTTCTCTTTATAGCTGTGTCGTGGATGAGATGGATTTCTCTGGCATGGAGCTTGACGAAGCCCTGAGAAAGTTTCAGGCTCATGTCCGTGTTCAGGGAGAAGCACAGAAAGTGGAGAGACTCATCGAAGCCTTTAGGTGAGACTGTCAGCTCGCTCGCCACCCGGGCCTCTCCGACAAACAGGCTCTGGCTTTGCTTTTTAATACGATTCAACACAATAACATCCCATCACTGAGCAGGGCTGATAAGGGCACTCTGAACTTTTTAGAAATGAAAAGACCTTTTGCCTATGGCCACCTATGCAAAACAGAAAAACAATGGCACGTAACCAAGCTCTCATATTTTGCAATAAAACGGAAGCAAAAAAAAGTCTATTCTGATCTCGTAGCCTAGGGGTAGCAGACGTATCAGGAATGGCATACTAATCGGCCAACTGTATAGACATGCAAGTGTTTTAACTGGTGCTGCTAGCTCACTGTGGCAGGCTGTGATGACACCGAAGCCCTGTATCATTAGCAAATTACACTGATTGCCTGTAACCTTTGACTAAACTCAGCAGCGTTTGATTGTCATCCAATCACAACAGAGATCTGAGCTGCAGGAAATCAGTGTGCGTTCCATCAGGGCAAAAATAGATTCTCTATTTCCTGGATGACAGTTTTTGGCGAACTCTTCTTCTTTTTAAAAGTATTTGTATGTGGTGGATAACTGTATGTCCATTTCCATCCAAAGCCACGCATGAATATTCATAAGTTCATGTTTGGTACTCACTAGGATTTAGCCTGAGTTGGTTTTCTGCTCATTTCATCAGTGCTGACTCCAGCCCTGCAGTTACTAAAATGTATGAGCATATCTGCTTAAGAAGGCTCATTTAAATACCAAGAGTACCTTGAGAGACCTCCTGTGGTTTGCACATTCAGTTTACACCTTTTTGCGAACTGTCTAGTTTTGCCTGCAACAAACTCATGGATGGAAACAAGGTTCTTATGATGCTGTTACCCTTTGAAAATTCTTTGAGATGAAAACAGACAGACGCAACCAGAAAAACAGCATCTGCAACTGCTGCTTCATCCCCTTGCTTGCACTGTCCTTGAAATGTCCTGGTAATAGCCAAAGATTGCCCTCAGGACTAAAAAGGCAATAAAGATGCCCATCACTGTTTTCTATTTCAGAGTAATCGGTAGCATTGCTTTGTAAATTTAATGTCTCACCGTGGATGTGCTGCTTGTTCCCTCAGGGATACCAACAATGTCGCCAGCTTGACATGACTTGAGTCACTGCCCCTTTGAACTCATTAACCAAGATGTCCTTTTCCACTACAGGGATGTGTGATCACCATAATAAATGTGGTGCCTGTTAGTTAACTGCCACCGCATTTCTGCATACTCATTATGCTGTCCTTGTTTGTCTGATTAATTGACATTGTTGTTGTTTTTTTGTGGTCTTCAAAAAGACAAAATCACAAGGCGTTGGTCCGTCTTTCAGAACCTTCCAACGTTGCTCCTCTTTCTGTGACACTCAGGCTTAAGCCCGGTCGTTCCTTCTGAAGAAACTAAACCTTTGAGCGAAATGCTGTCGTCTGAATGCAAACATGTCCACAATGACGATGCTAACCTGATGTTTAGCAAGTAGTGTTTTCCATCTTGGTTTGCATTGCTAATTAGTACATTAGGCAAACAACAGATGGAAGGACAGATGGTGGCAATGTCATTAGTTTTGTAGGTATTTGAACATAAACCAAAATATTGGACATAATGTAGTTTTTGCTGATGGAAGAAATGTGAAGGTATTTAATGCTAAGGTTAAACTATATATGTATTTTAATATTATTAATTAATTAATTAATTTGTCCAGCTCAAACATAAACATTGCAATCTGATGCATCCTACCAGATTGTAGCTTCAAGATCATTTGCATCTGTAGTCCCCTGGCAGATGTGCGCATCAGTTTTATGGAAATCCCCCAAAAGTTGCTGAGATATGGTCCAAGCTGCTACAGTAGCACAGATAATAAAAACAGATGAGAAATACAGTAACAAAACTGTATTTCAGTGTAAGTTAATGTGAGTGCATCCTTCATTAGTGAGAAACCATTTTTCTATTTTTGTCTATTTTGTATGTTGGCCTTTATTTGTAATGGCAGATTTGATGATGTCGGGGATGGCTACAGGTGATTTTGCTGTTCTACCTTTCACTTTAAAATACTCCAAAAGTGTTCTGTTGGATTCAAGTGAAGGAATGTATATACAGTCACCTTTTCTCCCTTTAAAAACTCTCTTGTCATCGTTGCAGTGTGTTCAGGATCATTGTCATGGTGGAACATTTCTCTCCTGCGTAGCTTCTAGAGTCTGGAAGTCATCTTTTCAGTCAGTATTTTGGTATAAAAGGATGCATTCATAGAGCCATCTATAAATGTCATCTCCCCTACAAGCTTGTGCACTCATGCAGTGCCGTATCAGCACACGCCCACCTCCTTATTTCACCGTCGGCACAGTGCAGTCACTGTGGTAGTTGTTGGACCCCGTCTGATCCAAACAACTTTGTTTATTCATTTTGGTTTAATTTAGCCAAAGAATGTGCTGCCACTATTCATCAGGATTATTTTCATTTGTTTTGGCAAAGACTGTTGTTGCAGTTTTGTGCCATTTCATAAGCAATAGTTTTGTTCTTGGATGCAATCTGTAGAGGTTGACTTGATGCGCTGTCCTTTGCTCTGTCTCACTAAAACACTAATCACCACACGTGATCCACAGATGAACACTTATTCTTTTTCAAACATCTGTTTTCCAGCGCAAAGCTTTGTAAATAGGGATTTAATCACGGTGTAATTTTTGAAAGATGGCCTATGAACCATCTGTTATCGGTAGTATGGTTCTTCCTCCTAACCATTGCTGCAACTGTGTTCTGGTTGTAGGCTCAGTAGTCACAGATGTCATTTTTAGTCATTCCTCACCATTAGAAGCTGTGTTGTATTTATTCATCACACAGCTGTAGTCATCACTGGCTCTTTCATAACCTCGTTCATTCTGCCAGCTTATATGTGGAAATTACATACGAGTGTATTGTTCCCTCCTGGAAACCAATGGGTTGCTCCCATAGGTTTGGGGCTGAATTGCTGCCCCTAATGAAGGAGTTTAAATATCTCTGGATTTTGTTCACAAGTGTTGGGAAAACGTAACATGAGATGGACAGACAGATTAGTACAGCATCAGCAGTAATGCCGGTGTTTGCTAGTCGTGGTGGAAAGGGAGCTGAGCCGGAAGGAAAAGCTTTCAATTTACCAGTCTGTCTATGTTCCAACCCTCACCTATGATCATGAGCTCTGGGTAGTAACTGAAAGAATGAGGTCGCAGATACAAGCAGATGAAAGGGGTTTTCTCCATAGGGTGGCTGGACTCAACCTTAGAGACCGGGTGCCTGGACATCCAGAGGGAGCTCGGGGCAGAGTTGACGCTCCTTCGAAAAGAGCCAGCTGAGGTGGTTTGGGCAGGATGCCTCATGGGCACCTCACTTTGGAGCTTTTCTGGGTATGCCCAACTTGGAAGAGATCCCCGGGTGAACCCTGAATTTGCCGGAGGGATTATGTATCTCATTTAGAATGGGAATGCTTTTGGATCCTCCAGGAGGAAGTGAAAGGTTTGCAAGGGAGGGGAGAGGTTTGGAGTGCCGTGCTTAGCTTGCAACAACCGTAACCCAAACCTTGATCAGCGAAAGACGACGGATGGATGGATAGAAATGACATGTGTTGCAGTCTTGGCTCATGGGGTAGGAACATGAAGGAGGTAAAAAAAAGCTTCATATTCATTAAGACAATAATGTAGTGTGGGGAGGCAGTTTGTTAGAAAAATCTGTTCATTGTCGGTCGGTTTCCAACATTTATCACCCTATCCATTAAAATTAAGTGTGTTTTTTCTCCAAGCAAGAAGTGGTGAGGGAAGCGAGAAGAGAGGAAAAGGACCAGTCGTGACACTTCCTCTCTCTGATTCTGATTTGAGGGCCAATCAGAACACCCACCGCAGTCATCAGTTAATCACATCACACTCAATCATACACGCTGAGCCCCTGGGTGCAGATTATAAAGTCATCAGTGATCTGAGACCACACTCTCTGTCTGTGGCTGTGAGTATAGGTCAGAAACGAGCGAGCTTTATCGGGACAGCCAGACATCCGATGCCATATCTGTTACGTAACAGTTGTTATGTCATCTGTTTGAAGCGCGTTGTACTCTTGTTGAGAGTAGTTCCTTTATACGAAGTGGTATTTGTGCCAGCTGGCGTGCAACTTTCATATGCAGATATGAAGATAAGAGATCGGGAGCTAGTGTTTAAATAAACTGGTTACGTAAGATGGAGATCCGTGCTGGGAAATGTGTGAATGAAACACAAATACATGCCCATACCTACCTCTTTATTTATTCACTCAAGTGTTCGCTCACTCATTGTAAAAATATGCACATATGCACTTACACATCCATGCACATGCCCATTTGCATAATTACACACACACACATACGGCAGATCTTGCCTTGCATTCGGTCTTTGATGAATTTGCCGCAGAATTACATCAAGTTGGCAAATCAGAGGCTCATTTGTGTCTCTTTGTGCTTGCGTGTGTGCCTATGTATGCGTATGTGCCTGTTATATCTGGCAGGATCTAGTCTCCCTCAAACAAAGGCGTTGCGACTGAACTGGGCCGGTCGACTGATACCATGTGAGCGTTCTGGCCTTAGATCTTGTGTGGAGTGGTGGGAAATGGTTTCCTGGCTGCACAGGTCTTAGATGTGGCCTCTCGCTTGCATACGCTCTGACAAGTGCATAGTCCTCTGGAGCAGAGCAGCCCTCTCCATGTCTGCATCCTGCCTGGCTGCAAAGATAAAAGCCTCCCACCACTGAATGGCCCAGTGTGTAAGTGTAAGTGACAGTAGGAAAGATAGGGAGGGAGCTGTGGGGGAAGGAGGGATGGAAGAGAGCGTTTGTGAAGCCTGTGGACAACAATGGGGCAAAGCAAGTCTAAATGCAGCATCTCTGGCATCAAAGCAGATTGGGCAGCGTTGCCTCACCTTGGGCAGAACTGTTTTGCGCTGTCAAATGTCTCTTCTGTCCTGTCAGTCTCATTTATGGGAGAGTGACTGGTCCTCAAATCTGAGCAGAGGCTACAATCAGTCAGATCATAAAATAGCGCAGCCGGTATGGTGAGATATCTACTTTAAAATCAATCTCAATTCTTCCAGCTCACAGCAAGAATAAGAAGCGCTCTCCATGTTGCCTTTATAACTTCATCAGTTTGTACTGATCTGCGCTCCCTGATGTTGTTATTGTGCCCAATTCAATCACCAAATCCCAGGATTCCTCCGCAGTTGGCTGTTGATATTTTTGAAAGAGTTAGAGAGAAGAGAAAATGTGGGGACTTGCGAGTGCCACTGAGCCCAATAACACAGTTAGGGAGTGTATCATTAAGTTCTGGTACATACAGAAGGATGCAGGGTTGTTGAAAAAGCGTTGCTAATATTGGAAGTACCGTCTCTGATCATAAATGGGGATGACACAATATTAGAAAGTCAAACATCATTACCAACGTGAAACAACCACACATGATAGTGAAGCTATTGTGTTACGCTACACTGTAAAAACAAACAAACAAAAACAAATTATAAAAAAATATTATATTGTGGCAGCTAGATCACAAAAAAATTACTTAAAAATAATGAAAAATACAATCATTTTCCATGAATAAAATATTGGCTTGTTTTAATAAAGCTCCATGTAAAAATTATGCAAATTATTAAAATGGTCTGTTTGGATTTATTGCACAGTGGGTAGATAAAGGCAAGCAATATGATTTGTCCAGGGTGCTTTAAAGCCACAAATTCGGCATAATACAGCTGTCATTTATTTATTTCTCTGATATTATAAATCAAACTTGTGGAAGCTTGCAAGCGCAATGCAACATTATTTAGTCTGCACAATGTTTCATATCTTTGTATCCCATGGTTATTAAGCCAGAGAGAGAAAGATTTATGCTGTTATCAAAAAGCAACAATAGTCTGTTGTTGTTTGAAGGATCACTGGGATTTCAGTGTCGCTGACGGTTCTTTGTTCTGTCCGCTGTGCCTAAAAATGTTGCTGGAGTGGCGAAGAATCCCGAGATCCAATGTCTAATGAAGGTGTCTGACCTGAATCATGATGTATGATTCTGTTTTCCTGTTTGTCCTCCACAGTCAGAGGTACTGTATGTGCAATCCCGATGTGGTTCAGCAGTTTCACAACCCAGACACCATCTTCATTCTGGCCTTCGCCGTGGTCCTCCTCAACACTGACATGTACTCGCCCAACATCAAACCCCAGCGAAAAATGGGCCTTGATGACTTCATACGCAACCTGAGAGGTTAGTGTTTGCATGTGTGATATGTACTCAAATCTATTCATACCCTTCCATTAAAGAAAAGGCAAAATTCACAATAGTCACTCAAATAACTAGAAACTGAAAAAAGTAATAATATATATTTTTTTAAAAAATGCTTAATTATAATTTAGTTAGGGCTGCAAGGTTGGTTAGTACTGTTGCCTCGCAGCAGGAAGGTTGCCGGTTCGCGTCCCGGTGGGGGCACCGGGATCTTTCTGCGTGGAGTTTGTATGTTCTCCCCATGCAGCGTTGGTTCTCTGGCTTCCTCCCACACAGTCCAAAAACATGTTGAGGTTAATTGGTGATTCTAAATTGTCCGTAGGTGTGAATGTGAGTGTGCTTGGTTGTCTGTCTCTAAGTGTAGCCCTGTGATAGACTGGTGACCTGTCCAGGGTGTCTCCTGCCTTCACCCTGAGTCAGCTGGGATAGACTCCAGCCCCCCGCGACCCTAGTGAGGATTAAGCGGCGTATAGATAATGGATGGATGAATGGATAATTTAGTTAAATAAGACATTGCTTTTGAATTGTGGTTGAAAAGAATAATTAAAAAAAACAAACAAACAATACTGTCCTGGACAAATTCGAGCCCTTTGCTGATGAGCAGTGGACCAAAATCAAAACACCTGTCAACAGGAGCAGAAGTCTGACTGAGAGTTACAGAAAACACTTGATTGTAGTGATTGGCTCAAAGGGTTGTTCAACTAAATATTAGTTTATGGGTCCCATCATGATTGTTTGCTTGTTTTTTTTTGTTTGTTTTTTAAATAATTCTGTTGAACCACAATTCAAAAGCAACATCATGATTTTCATAAAATTTGACAGTTGTTGTTTTCCTTCTTTAATGGGAGGGTATGAATACAGTTGAGGACGACTGTATGACAGAGATAGAAAGTGTGTGTTTACGGTTTCTTCACTTTCGGCAATGTGACTTGTCCCTCAGGCCAGAGCTGGTATGATGAGTTGTAGACCTGCTCTAATATTCCTGACAAGTGTTTTTTTCATTTTTTTTTTATAAGCAGAGACTTTGAGCATTGGTCATATATAGCAACCACACGCACACACACGGCTCAAACTTTTTATTGCGGATCACGAGGAGATTGTTTGGATCGATATGCCAGAAAGAATGATGAGAGAGACGGAAAGGAGAGCAGAAGGCAGGGGAAGTCAAAGTTTTACAACGAGCACTCTCTTATCAACCTCACTTCAACCTCACTATCAGTCTTTTGAGTGACAGCCTCTTGAACTGAAGTAAATTACTCAAAGAGGCTGCAGTTGCCTGCCTCTGCTTGCTACCATCAAGAAAACCATCAGCAGCGCAGGAAGAGATTCCTGATATCCTTGACTCGGAGCTGTGCCCCGGAGACCGTGGCATCGGCCCATTTAATTGAGGCTCACTTAGCGTTAGATTTAACGATAGGGGCTTCGGTTTCCGGAAGCATCTCATCACCTGGGCTGAGCTCCCCAAAGCTTTCAACGCTGTCTCCGTCCGGAGCGTCAACAGATACATACGTTTAACTGCAGGCAAAAGAGAGGAGCCATTTGACTTTTATTTGTACCTTCAGTTTAACCCTCTGAAACCCAAAACCGACTGTGAAAGAAAAAACAGAAAATGACACTATTTATCAGAGCCAGAAACTGTAAAAAAAAATCATAGAATAGTCCTTAACTTACTCACCCGTAGTTGGGAAAATGAACCAGATCTAAGCTTTAAATTATGACATTTACTCAAAATGATCTTTCTCTGCATGTCTCATTTAAAAACTTGCCAAAACTAAACCATTTGCTCTAACAAGATTCTGTAAAAAAATAAAAAATCTCTGCTCCTCAGCACAACCCTGGAGCCATTAAGAACTCAGCTGTAACCAATAGTCACATGACAAAAATTCAGGGACTTTTCAGCTGAACTGGGCTGAACTGCAGGCTGTGTTTACACAAAGCAGATAGAAGACATTTAAGGAGACAAAGGAAAAAACTTAAAAATCTAAGTCTAAATGTCTGTATGTAGAGTCATCATTTTTGCTGTTGGTAACACCTGTTGGCAAAAAAATTGTACATATTGATTCTTTATTTTTATGATTTGTGGCATTATAACATTGTTATGTTGCACAAAAGCTATTTCTGAGTTCTCTCAACTTCTGGACATTTACAGAGAGGTACAGGACTTTATATTGCAGCAAAGAAATAGCCAACAGTGACTAGAAATGTGACAAAAAAATGGCCAGAAACTGCTCGGAGTTAAGAGGATTGAGAGAAAAATCCACCTCAAAACAAATTAACTTCATCAGTCGCTATGTTTTTATAATAATTTCAGTAATACTCTACGACTCTGTGCTGCTTCTTCCTGATAATGGAACAACTTCCAAGACACAATAGCAGCACACATACTGAGATAAAAGCACGTTTTGTGTCTCACAGCTGCAATCCTACAAAGAAATGAAACTAATTTGGCTGTAATATCTCAGATAAGTAATGATAGGAGAACACAGTCCGTCTCCAATTCGGATTATTAAGCTTGTATTCGGCATAACCGTTAGCTTCCACCGTGGCTGTCGCTAATCTTCCCAGGAATCTGCGCGGTTAAATGATTCACGTCTGTGAGCACTTTTATAAGATAAATATCAATGGACCAGCTCCAAAATGTGTTAAGTGAAGATATCATGATTTCTCAAGTCTATATTTTTTAATTCCCAGCTTAAGGAGCTATCAGCTGTTTGTGTTCCAAGTATTGACTTTACGGTGCGAAATCAATCGAACATCACAATGCGGATTCTGTTTTTGGGGGATTTTCCTTTTAAAGCTTCTCTGATCTTCTCTGCGCCCTCGATAACATCCCCGTGTTATCTCCTTATAAACCATTTGCTGATTTCTCCTCTTTGGTGATCTCATCCTTCGACTGTTATAGATTGAGTCACGCACACTCGCTCAGCCCACATTGGACGTGTCGCCCTGTGAAGTTAGCGTGAACAAACACCGGCTATGTTTACATTAAAATTCTGATTCTTGAGTTTTAACTTTTGAATATTTTAAACCATGTCTTCTTTTTTTTTTTCCTACATCCGTGTTTGCGAGCTCGCAGCCTCCCTCCTCGCTGCTCGAGCTGGCACGTTTCTCGGCACATTTCCACCACCGACTGCTGATCAGAACGGCCTGACATGGGAAAGTGTTACCTGTGTGCTCAGTTGACATTTACATTTATTCATTTGACAGGCAGAGCAATGTACAAATGCGCCCTGATGCGTGCTAACATAAGACATAAATAAATTAAAAGCAGCAGCCCACTCATAAAAACATTGCTCCGTAGCACTACAGTGTGTCTTTTATCCCGACTGTTACATAAACATATAGCATCACATGCACTAGTTGGCAGAAGTGGATGGACAGATGAGGTCCTGACAGTTGTGTGAAATGTTCACACAGCCTTTCAAATGCAGAATTATTTTAATGTTTGAGTTTCAGCTGTCACATAATCCAGACCAAAAAAAAAAAAGTTGATTGGTATTCATTAATTCAGACTTGATGCTGTGTTTCAAACACTGTGACTGGATGGTCTGGAGCTTAGAGCAGGGCCACCTGTGGCTGTGGTGACAAGGCCTGCTTCATACGACCCCTTGAATTCTCTCAGGTGTGGATGATGGAGCCGACATCCCCAGAGAGATGGTTGCTGGTATTTATGAAAGGATCCAGCAGAGAGAGCTGCGCTCGAATGAAGACCATGTCACATATGTGAGCCGCGTGGAGCAGTCTATCCTGGGTCTGAAAACTGTGAGTAATGTCTCTGTTTTTGTACCAGTCTTTCCCCCTTTTTTACATTTGAGCAAGCTGTCTGCGCTTGTTTGTACAGTCTCCTTTCTCTCGTGTCATGCATTATTTTGGTGCAGTCTGTCCTCTGCTCGGTACTAGCTGTCATCTCCATCTCTTTAACCTCGTCTCTGCAGATCCTCGCTGTGCCCCACAGACGTCTGGTGTGCTGCTGTCGTCTGTTTGAGGTGCCTGATGCCAACAAACCTCACAAACAGAAACTGTCCCAGCTCCAGAGAGAGGTCTTCCTCTTCAATGACCTGCTGTTGGTGAGGAGTAACCACCAAACAAAAACGCGTCACATACGATCAGACATGTGGCCAAATACAGTTTGACCGTGTTTGTGTTGTCCTCTAGATCCTGAAGCTGTGCCCCAAAAAGAAAAGCTCAGCCTCATACACCTTCTGCAAAGCTATGGGGCTCCTGGGAATGCAGTTTCACCTCTTCAGCAATGAATGTAAGATGCTATTTTACTCCGCAGCAATTTATTCCCAGTGCAGTTCCACTCTTGTGCTGGAAATTGCTGAGCCAGCCATCCACAGCACTGTCTGTCAATTCAGTGTCAGGACCCAGACTTAGAGGAATTGCCAAGGGGTCACCAGTGAAACTAAATTAACAGAATGTTGTCAAGTTACAGCAGATATCTTTTAGGAAAGTTGCTTGCTGTCACAGACCTAATTATTACTTTTAAAAGAAAGTTTGTTGTGTTTGTTTATTCTTTAATTTGCTGTCTAAAGAACATTTTAATGTAAGTGACACTCAAATGTTGTGTCTTTATGTACACCTTTATGCAGACTTCCAACATGAACGTGCATGCTCTTTTTCTTTCTAGTTTTATGTTTTAGGCCTGCAGGTAGAAGTATGATTGTACTTATTAGTCCGCCGTGCCAGTCAGTCTGAAAGAAATATACACTAACCTTCAAAAACTCGAAGGTTTCAGTGCCGTGAAACAAAAAGAAAAAAAAAAATACAATCCCACACACTGTCAATCACTTCTCCTGCCGTAACTAACACGGTTTCAGTCCTACGACCTTCATCGGGGGAGCTGCATGAACTTTCCTGATGGAGGTCTGAGGGGTTCACGGTTCGTCCAGCAGGCAGAAAGAAACAGCTCAGTGACTTCATTAAAGGAGATGATGAGACTGAAGGCTTATGGGCAGGCAGGTAACACAACAGTCCTGAGCATGAGAGACTTGACAACCTCCAAAATGACTGGGAGGGCCGGGGTGTATGCAAGCTGGACAAAATGGGAACAGGTGTGTGAGTAGGTGGGAGATCTAGAAACAGCCTGGGGACATCTGCTGAATGGATGGAGAACGACAGGACAACAAGGGGGAAAAAACACACCAAGGGCAGGAATCGTGACACTTTGTTTGTTACCAGTAAGGAAAAACAAATTAGTTATGCAAAGTCCCCATAATTAGGACTCCGAGAGGCAAGGCTTTATAGGGCAGCTTGCAATTAAAGTGAAGACAACTGCAGGTAAAATGTATGGATTGATAGATTAATTTAATACGTGGGTTCTCAGTACAATTCAATTCAGTATAATTTATGAAGCGCCAATTCACAATGCATTATCTCAAGGCACTTTGCATCGAAAGGTGAAGAATTCAGTTTTGAAAAATAAATAAAAAATAAATACATTTAGAAAAAAACAAAACAAACACTCTGGATGAACATTCACAAGGTCTCCCTTTAGTTCACCTCTGGGTCACCAGTATAAAAAAAAGAAATGTTTGCTGCGCTCATCTCAAGAGCTCCAGTTGTCGTGTTCAAGAGGCCAATAATCCAGCCAAGGATGAATTCTTGCTCTTTTTCTTAGCGGCAGTCTTTTATGAAACCCTGCAACCAAACAGATGTGCAACAAAAGAACTTTCTTTTTTTTTCTTCATTGGTATTTCTCAATAGACTACGCTCACGGTATCACCATGCTGAGCCCGTTTACCTCAGAGAAGAAGCAGCTGGTGAGTTTCTGCTCACCGAGCGGAGAAGAGCTCAGGAAGTTTGCCGAGGAGCTCAGAGAGGCCATCGCGGAGGTCAACGAGATGGAGCAGATACACATCCAGTGTAAGAAGACGAGCACGGCACGCTCTGACAAAAAGCAACACCTCGCGCTGCACGTGGCCGCTTGCAAATCTCTCTGTTTCTTGCATTGCAGGGGAGCTGGAGAGGCAGCAAGGCATCCAACCACACGGCCTACACACCAATGGTGGTCAAGTGGACGCGCACACCGGGCACGGCTCCCCCTCAGGTGCTGGTTTTGCTCGTGCAGCCTAACACATCATGCATTACGCATTACAATGCATACGTTACTCAAGGGAATGTAGAAAATAGCACTCAGATGAGGTGACGGGGTGAAGCACATATTTAAAAAAAACAACAAAAAAACGAGTGGATGACGGTCAAAGGGGTTAAACTGTTGCTGTCACTTTTAGTATTAAAGACAGAATTAATTCCTTGTTCTGCTGTAGCTTCCAATACAATTGCAAATCATTATTTTTACCATGTGCTCAGACTTAACCAACAAGTCACAGTTCAGATTTGTTTGTTTAATCTGCACAAAAACTGACAAGTTTTGTTTTCATCAAAGGTTCCATGCAGGACTGTTAGTGGTGGTTCTGCACTCTATTTGCACTACAAATAAGAGATAGTCTCATCATATTCTGGGCAAGAAGCAAATAAATGCTCCTCCTGAATTAATCCTTTAACTAAATGACAATCCCCCGTGTGAGAGTCTGTTTTTGACATTCTGTATATGAGGCTGAAATCTGCCTGTTGACTTACTAATGGAGATATTTTTCCCCACAGGCCAACAGGATGCGTACGATAAAACCGGCAACAACAACACAGTAGAGGTGAGTGCCAAAGCTACTCTTGTCTCCCCCAGGTAAGTAGCTGCATCTCCAGTACTGTGGGTGTGGTTTTGAGTGTGTGTGTGTGTGTGTGTGTGTGTGTGTGTGTGTCGGGGGGGTTAGACAGGGACTGTGCCTCGTCCTGAAAAGAAAGTGTGCTTTATGCTTTGCTTTAAAAGAGCTCCGCCTGAGGCACATCCCCACTATGCAGCCAAGGATACAAAGGCCGCTGAGAGGAGCTGCTGTAGTGGCGCTACAAACAGTCTCTTTCTGTGCCTCAAGAGTAGATCAGCAGCCACTCTACTCGCTATACAACATCCCTTCTTTCATCAGCTGCTGCTTGCCAGCCTTACTGTATAAGCCATTGCAAGCCACCATAAGCCTGGCTGGTTCCTAGAATACCATCTACAAAGCCAGATAAGCTTGATACTGTTAACAGTCTGTGAGTGTGTGAGTGTGTGTGGGTGACTGTGTGTCTGTAAACCAGCCCCTTCCTTTAACTAGGCATAGTGATAGAAGCTGTTCTTTTCCCTCTCCAGTTTTCTCTCTGTTTCGTTCCTTTGCCCATTCTCTCTCCTCTCTCTCCTGCCTCTCAGTCAGCCCTTTAGAGTTGTAACTTACTGTGTTAGGGAGACACCACGCCCTCGGTGTCGCCTCTCTCCTCTCCTGGCACTCCTTTAGCTTCTCATTCTGCCACTCATCGACCATGTTCGCACACTCGCACACATGAAAACCAAAGCGTTCCCGCCAAACAACTCTCGTGTTACCCCACAACCCTTTTCTCTTCCGGGCTGGTGTGTGTAAATACATGATTGAGGCAAAGCGCAAATCATGTAAAGAGACGATAGAGAGAAAATGTACGAGAGAGTGTGTGTCTTGCATGCGCTCGCTCTGCACTCTGCCTGCCTGCATGCCTGCATGCCCATGTGCGTAACACACCAGAGGGCTGCGTAGAGGCTGCGTTCAGGCTGGTAACTCCTCATGCGTTCTCTGACTGTTCCTAAACTAGGTGTCAATTCACAACAGGCTGCAGACCTATCAGCTGAGCCAGCCCAGCATTGAGTCCACGCCTCTGGCCCTGGCTGCACCCCCCGCCCTGCTCAGCCCCGTCCAGGCCGGAGAGCTCCGCCCAGAAACACTCATCCAGTGTCAGCAGATCGTCAAGGTGATCGTCGTGGACCAGAGCGGGCGAGGGCGGATGGAGGCCTTCCTCAGCCAAGGCCCGGCCACCCATCAGCTCATCCAGTCAGCCCTGTCGACGCCCGTCCGCATCCGAGAGGGAGACGGCCCCCAACCCCCACTCCCGCCTCCCCCTCCACCTTACAACCACCCACATCAATTCTGTCCACCTGACTCCCCCATGCCCCTCCACCACACCATGCCTCTCACCCGCAGGCGCAACTCCAGTGGCTCCCGAAGCATCGTTTGAGTCATCAGCTATTTTATGAACCCCGTGGGGTGACCCTCACACGCAGCAACACACACATGCTGGAGCACATTCGACTCACTTTGAATCGTAAGATAAAGGCAGAGCAAAAAAAAAAAAAAGCAAAAAAAAAAAAAAAACCAGGCAAAGAATATACTGTATGAGCCGAAGGAAAAGGAAACCGGGATCGTGATCTTGACAGAGCTGTGTTGTTTTTGAACGTGGAGTAGCTTTGATGGCATTTCTGAACTTTTTCTTCTTTCTTTTGTTTCCAACATGTCACCTGGTAGCTGATGTTGATGTCTGTCTAGATTTCACACTCTTCAAAGGGATGTGGTGACTTTGCATTTCTAAATGTCACCTGTCCGGCAAATGCGTCTGTGAGCTTCGACCGTGAAACCGAGCGACGGTGTCAGAAAAGCAGCCCTGGCATCCCTGAAAGGACTCGAGATCACTTTAAATACGAAGGACAAAATTCATCTTTTTTGGTTTTCTTTCAGGATATTGATGTTGACGTCTCTCATTGGTCCAGGTTTTCCATATTGCATACCACATTCAGAGAGGAATCCTTTCAACACAGCTAATCTATCTTCTCTATACTATAATCTTTTTTTTTTTTTCTCATCTCTGCATAATGTGAAGAAACAAGAGTACCAGCTTATTTGTTCCTTCATTTTTCCAGGGAACAGATAATCATGCGTGAAGGAGGATGTGAAGAAAAAGATAAATGGCTCTCTACCCATGTCATGTACAGTACAAGTGTAGCAAGGGAGGATGTTGCTACCCGCTAAACCAACCTGAAACGATATCCTGACGACAATCATGTTTCTGTGCTTCATCGTTTGTGCTAAACTTGTGTAAGCAGATATCTTCACAGTAGTGTGTCAGAGCCCTGATTCTGTGGAGATGTTCCCCTCGCAGAGCTCAGGAAAGAGTCTGCTGCACTGCAACATGTAATACTGTAACTGCACCTCTGAGCTGCACTGAGAGCAGAGTGCTTGTGTACTGTGTGTTCAGTCTGCTTACTCATGGGCATCAGGGAGTCGGGCTGGTAATTCATCCAAGACAAGGCTAAAACAGGCAGACGAAGCCTTTCTCCTCCTGTACATTTTACTCCTAATGGGTTACCTAGTGTGAATATTGATGTTACCTTTGGATTTAGGTAATATTTCTGCCCAGAAAACCCTTTCTTTATTTTTAAAGCTTTATTTTAAAAATGAAGTGAAATTACTCTGCACAGGGTAGACCAAGGTCACCTCACAAAAAAAACATCCTTCCCCTCTCACCTATTATATTTTCCTTAAGCAACGAAAACATTATATAAGCAGAGACGCATTTCTGTACTGAATGTTAAATCAGGGGGAAAAACTGAAGATGTCTATGGAAATAATTATTGATTTCATCACTGTGTCGTCTGTCCAGTGTCGATGGTTTCGAGCTTGAGCCAGTTTGTACAGCACATCACGAGTCATCCGACCGAGACATACTGAACACGTCTTGTACCTTTTGCACCACAGAATATATTGGATATATTGTAAATAGATAATATAGATTTATTCTGAAAAAGTGATTGGTTTGCCCAGTGTGTGTATCTACGTATGTATTTGTACAGAGAAAAATCTAGTTTAAAAGAAAAAAAGGATATTATAGTTATCATAGCGATTATTATTATTATTATTATTATTATTATTATTATTCACACGTAATATCAGGGGGTGTCCTAAATGCTACTGCTGTGAGAGATGGGAAACAGGCAGCTTTTATAGAATACACTCCAGTTACCATGGTAACAAACACTGACATTATTACAGATCTACATTCATCATTAAATTACCATGTCATGTTATTACAGGATTAATAAGAGATGGCTGTGTCACCTGTTAGGGTGTGTAAAGGGCTATGCTGTATTGGTGAATACGTACAGTAAACCACAAGTTATGCGCACACAAACACACACGCAGTCACACACACACACACACACGCGCACACAAACACACACGCAGTCACACACACACACACACACGGATATACCAACAAGCGCACACACGCTCACACAACCACGCACACTGATGTACGCATACACGCACATAGCTGCCAAAGCAACAACGAATTCTGCTTAAATTTACCTTAGAAACTGCTTGATTTCTCAAGTCAGCAGCCCCACTTTGTTTACTGTAAACTCTGACTGACTTGTGCTATACCGCATGATATTCTTTTTTTGTTTTCGTTTGTTTTTTTTATTATTTACAGTACACGGGAGGAGTTTTGATTCTATGTTTGTATCATTATTGTCAGGGCATGTTGGGTTGATTGATGTCATTTTCTCCTCTCTCTACTTCCTCCCTCCTTTTTCTGCCCTTACCCCCTTGCCTTCTCCGTGGTTGTCATGGAGATGCACCAATCTGCATCCTCACTGTGGAGCACTGTCATTAATCTTTGCACCCTCACAATATTTCTAAAAAGGAGATTTCTTAAAGATCAACATGTTTACTAATGGAATTTCTAATTTTTTCTGTTTGAAGAGAATGAAAGAATAAAGTAGTTTTTACTCTCGGTCTTGGACTGTCCATCTGTGTGCATCAGCATCGATATCGCCTCCACAGCGTCGGCGCCCGTCGTGCTCTCTCTGCCTTTCTAATGAATGAATTTGCACCAGGTGTGCGAGGAGGATAGTGGAATGAAGGAGCTTATGGGAAATCAGTCTCCACCGGTGCTCCTGTGTCATCCCAGCACACTGGGTCTGAACTCATTCATTAGCAGACGAGGTCGGCCCCAAAGCAATACTGGACCCGACTTGTCACATCTGTGTGTTGCAGTGAATCTACATGCGCGTGTGTGCATGCGTGATTTTAAGTACATCATTTTCACTGGGAGTCTCATTCTGTATTCTGTAGACTCTTTTGTTTTTGACTGGGCCTTTACTTGATAGCTGCGGGGGAGGGAGAGCGGAGTGCATAACCACAACCGTGGACACCTCGGTTACGTGGAAGGCATCTTAACCATTAGGCTAATGTGGCACTCTCTTATTCCATTCTCTAAAGACAAGACTAGCAAAATGGTAATTTGTAATTTCCTATCGCAATATCAAAAAACGACTACATTTGACGACTGTGGCTCTAATGCGAAAGGTCTCGAGTGTTTTTACGGTGAAGTTTCAAGGCCAGAAAAAATGCAAGTTCCTTTTATTTTTGCAAATCACTCACGAGGAAGGATAAACAACACGTCGACACAGACAGGGTTACAAAGAGACTGAAAAAAAAAACAACAACAACAATACCATTTTTGGCTGAATAAATTATCTTACAAAAAACGTAGATGATATCAACATAATAAAATAATTACAATACACAGTGAAATCAATTTGTGCAAAGTACCTGCAGGCTTACAGATGTGATAGCGCTCTCACAATCAGCTCACCTTCTTCTCTCTTATCCCTGTTGTTTCTCAAATTGTTTGTCCCTGCCCCCCCACCACGCCACCAAGTTTCTGTCTCTCTCACCTTCTTTTGGAAACAAGTGGACAAGAGGTAAAGTAAAGAGAGGACTGTGCTGCGAATAAGGTTTGAAGTGGAGCAACAAAGTCTTAGTCATCAGACAGACCGTTCAGTTCAGACTGTGGTGTTCACCTCCCGTTCCTCCGCCTTCATCCTCTAACTGCTTGGTGGAGGCGGATCTGCGCACAGGTCATGTACCGATGACCCTGAAAAAATACTCGCAGGTACAAGTGTACCTCTGTCAGATTTTCACATAGTGGTCTCCTCCCATTCCAGTTCAACATCACCTGCAGACAAACAAACGAGTGGTGTGAGCTCGATGCTGTGGACTGTGTGTTTGTGTGTGTGTGTGTTGTTTTTATATGTTGTTTACCTTCCATGGCGTCCAGGGAGTCCATCTTCTCCAGAGCAGAATAGCTAACAAACCAGATGGATTGGCTATTGCCTTTGTTGTTCAGCAGCTCCAGCGTACTTTGGTGCAGGAAGATGTACTGAGCCTGATAGCACACACACACACACACACACACAGATAATATACACTCAGATGATTCACATGTGTTACCATATGTTACTGCACCATATGTTATTTTGTGTTAATCTCACACTGCACTGATAATGATGTAAACAACAAAATTCTCTTTACAAAACAGCAGAAAAAGCACATGAAGTATAAACTGCAGATTTTTTACAACAGTATCATTTAGGAAGTGAAACATAGACTTAATTATGATGTGTAAAAACATATTTTATATCTTTATGCGGCAGATAACACATTCATGGATGTATGTTGTCCAGGATGGCGCCTTATTCATTCAATGAAGTGTTGCTCCACTTGTAAACACACACACACACAAATGTTTTAGTTTATTTTTGTTGGCTCACAGACCTCATGAGAGCCCTTCCCAGACTGAATGAGCCAACTACCTGAACATAATTTACTGATACGACCTGTGGCATAGAGGTAAGCCCAAAATAATTCATACCTTTGCCTTGAATTCTAAAAAAAAATGTGATTTGACCTTTAGAGTTCTTCTCGCTTGAAATGACATAAACATGTGACAAAAGATGGTGAGACATTGTGTTAGAGGTGGTAATTACATGTTTAAGCCCTTTCTATGTTGTTTTTAGCATTTCTCATTAAGGAAGTGATTAATTGGTAATCAATCAGTAATCACTGGCAAAGCCTTTGTTTGCCACCATGGTAAATAAAAGGTTCTTAAAATGACCAATAAGCTCTTTTGCATGTCTCTGCTGGGATTTTGGGATCGCTTCTCTTTTACGATAATCTCCAGGTCGTTGAGGTTGGAAGGCTTCTTTGGTATCACTCTGGTCTTCAGTTCCCTCCCCAGATTCTCGATGGGACTCAGGACTGAACTCTGGCTGGACTCCAAAATGTTGATATTGTTTTCCTTTGCTCATGTCTTGACCACTTTGGCTCGATGTTGCAGATTATTGTCTTGCTGGATGCTGTCCAAGGTTTCTGCTGATTGCCTGGTGTTTTCCCCTCAGAATCTTAATGTTGTCCTCTTTTCTCTTGATGCTGTTTACCTTGACAAGGTTCCCTGGCCCATTAGCTGACATAAAACCCCAAAGTATCACATTTCCAAATGTTCTTGCCGTTGAATGATTCTCCTTTCTTCTGGTATACAAAAGCCTTGTCCCTGATTCCAAAACAACTCCATTCTCATTTCATTCCACCCCAGAACTGATGACCAAAAGCTTTCTTCTTTGTCCAGGTGAACTTTTGCGAGGGCTAACTGAGCTGTGTGCCTGTCTTAGAGAAGTGGAGTCCTCCTTGGTCGTCGTTCATAGAGACCAGCCTTGTGCAGTGTCTGCTGGAGTGTCCATTTGAGACGCTGTTAACGGAATTGCTCAGATTCACCAGATTAGCCTTGGCAGTGGATTTTCCTTGGCCTCTCACATGACCATTCTTACAGGAGCAGGAGTCACTTTTAGGTCCCCATGGTGCCATTTTAGATTTTGCACAGTGTGGAACTCTTTGTGCTTTTTTGGATATGCTTGACACTGGCACTTGGAAATACTTGGATATGGCTTTTACAGCCTTTAACTGTTCGGTGAGAAGCCACAATGCACAGCTCTCTGGCAGTGATGGACTCCAACGGCAAGCTCACAAAGCTTTGGTTTTAACCATGACTTACAATTGACTACTAACTACCTACAGAACTACTGCATCAACTGTTGTCAATTTATAGTGTGTTAGAATATAAACATGGTGGGAATGACCAGGACTATTTGGAATAGTGTAAAAGCTGCACTTCTAAAAAAGAACAACTTGAAGAGCTATGAAAGCAGAAATAGAAATAGTTCAAATCCATCATTGACATTACTAACGCAGCCTTTTGTCATTTCCAGCCAAAGAAACCAACCGGTCAAATAAAGATACACTATAAATAACAATTTGGCATGGCTAGGAGGAATTTTAGGCTTAACTGAATGGCACATTGTAGCCGACTAAGGTTATTTTTTAAAGAAAATGAACTGCATGTGTATTCAAAGCCTGCTTCTCTATCCCTCATTTGACTTGATTCATTCCTTCACACAAGCTTATTGCTGTCATCTGGGGATGTGGAGATAAAAGTTTCACACATCACTGCGGCGCACAACACGAGCAGTGTGACAAGAAGACAGGGTTAAATACATCCCTAATTCAATTCAATTATCAGGGGGAACCTTTTCTTTGAAAGTGAAACATAAGTGAGCACATCTGAAATGCTAGTTAGAACTGTCATTTGTAGTCGGAGAGTACAGCAGGAAAGTGGAACTAAGAAGCGGTGGAAGGTGTGATGGACCTTTACAATAACTTCTACTATTTCTTTTGTAGTCGCTAATAAATAAGTGGCTCAGATAACATAGATAGCCTGTTCTCTTGTTCAAAGCTGCTTGAAAAAAGGAACTCTTGCTCCAGTATCTCAGCAATGACATTTGCGAGTTTGTAAATTAATTGATCTGAATGATGGTCTCCTGCATTATACTAATAGCTGGCCTGGCACACTGAGCACTGCAGTCTTAAAGAATCATGCTCTCACACAGGCACTGCAGGCTCAAACCTCACTGCCAGAACATGGGCGCGTAGAAATGGGCAGAACATCTAGAAATAATAAAACAAAGATACCGAGAAGAAGAGGAGGCACTAGGCAGAGGGTCCAACCCGGCACCGAGACGCACACCAGCGGCACATAAATAAGCGCTGGGGTAATTTTAGGATAGATTCATGCTGTTTCAAGAGGGGGAATCCTGCTCAGCACTTGCCTTTAATCCACTGCCAGATCATTCCCTTTGTCAATACAAGATTTTTTTCCAAATATTTTCTGATGGGGATGGGATCACAGCAGGGCATGAAGTAAAAAAGTAGGACAACTACACTGCTATTGATGGCTCTTTGATGATTCTTAAGTGCATTGGAACAACCAAAGATAAAAATACAGCTCCGTCTTTTGTTTATTCTCTCTCTAGGTTATGAAATGCAAAAAAAATAAAATGTGCTGCTTTATTTCATGTCAACTCACCAGATTCTGCACCATACACATCCTCTCGCTGCGCAGTTCAGCCACCAGCCCGTAAATATCCACAAATTCATGATCTCTGACGTGCTGGATGAGGTGATCGAGGGCGATAAACACACCTGTCCTTCCTACGCCGGCACTGAGGAAACAGTGGGAGAGCAAACAGCGTGCCATTTATAAGAGTGTCATTCATGACTCCTATTAAAGAACAGAATAAAGCGGTCGGTGCTCCCACTTGTAGGGATATTACTATAATTCATGCAGAGTTAGTGTCCTTCCACCGAGGTAACACCGTACCTGCAGTGGACCGCTATAGTGGTGTTTTCGTGCCTGTGCGCTCGGACAGCTTTGACGAACTTAATGAGTGTGCTGCAAGACTCTGGAACGCCGTGCTCAGGCCATGATGTGTAGTTAAAGTGGCGGACCAAAATGTAGTGTCCATGCTGCAAAGAAGCGTCACACATGACAAGAGGTTAAGTTTCCGTCTGGTGCATACATGTTCATTATGCATTTTTGTTATTATAAACAAATTCTTGAACCCATAATAAATGTATCCTGCTAAAAAGTCAAAGCTTGATACAGCCAAGAACTATGAAAGTGGCATTAATGTACACTAGATGACATGTTTCTGCACTGTTTATTCTCACTCAGTCCCAAATCATCCTCCCACTGGTGGTAAAATACATCAAAAAAGAAAACTTCCTGAGGTACGCTCAATTGAATTTCCACATTGTCACGTTTTTCTGGCTTTTACTGCATCAGACCCTGCTGAAAATTGCATCAGTGACTTAAACACATCCATTTCTCCTTGAATACAGTAGTAGGTTCTGCAGGAGACTGAAACACAAAATGGTGTAAAGCAAAACTGGGAGCTTTCTATCTCTCATGGCATGAGTGTTTATAGATGTACAAACACTGGCTGTCTGCATCATATTTGTCTCACTTAATCAGTAAATAAATCCAAGATTTCTATTTCACACTAGAACCAGACTTACTCAAATGAAGCCATTTCTTCGCTGCTCGCCCTTTATGACTCACGCTTTTTTTTTTTTTGGCAGTAAAATAGATGAGATTAGATATTAAATTAGTTCTTCATCTTCGGCAACGTCTGTGGAAGCAGTTGAGCATTATGTTGAATCCCAGTCAGTCTTTGTTTAAACAGAGTTGTACACTACGTCTACACACAGCTCATCACATGATGTCGAACCAGCCGCCTGCCTCGTCTCTCTATCAACTTAACTTTTCAAACATCTCCAGCGTCATTTTGGGACCTTCAGTGCTGAATATCAGTTATTTATCAGTTACAGCTGCCCTTAGTAGCTTTAAAGCCACTTTGGTTGACACCTTGATCCAGGGTCTTTTAATAATTACCAACTAGACTTTGACATCAAATGTACTTCAAAAAGCACTGAAAAGCAGCTTTCAGTTCATATTCTGACAGTCATCTTTTCAGTCTCGATTCAGGCCTGATTACACTGAAACTACA